GGCCGCCCTCCCCCCGGCCGCCGGGTGGAGAGCGGAGCCCCCACCGGGGCTCACCGCCCTCCCCCCGGGGCTCCGGCCGCCCTCTCTCCCCCCCCCCCGCAGGGGGGTGGGTGGGGCGGCCGGCGGCTTTTTTGCCTGGGGCGGCAAAAAAGCCAGAGCCGGCCCTGTGTAGAGCAAACCTTCCACAAACTTTCCCAGCCAACTGTTTTGAAACACTTGACTCTGCTCAGACTGGCTAGAACATACACCTACTTTTGATATAAATGTATTCCTCTTCACCTCCAGAGACATGCTGGAACTGAGGAGCCGCAAGGACCTTATGCTGTTTACCTCAAACCTAACAGATCTTTTCCATCTATAAATTTGATTATGTCTAACCACACTGGGAAAGCACATGTCCTCGACATTTCCACTAAAATGATAATCAGTAAAATACTTATGAGTGTTAAATAATAAAATGTTTTATATGTGCAGTAAGGAGCTACAGTGGAAGAGTAAAGAATAGCAAGGGGGGAAAGCACTGCCTTTCATGAAGGATTGAATCTGACTCTGAACCCCATGTTATCTACACTGTTGTAAATTCTTTCTAGATTAAGATTACAGATTTGAATACAGTCTACAGACCTGATCACTGTCTACCAGTATCTACGTGGGGGAGAGATTGCTGATGATAGAAAAATAGCATAATGAGATCCAATGGCTGAACCTAGACAAATTCAGACTAGAAACAAGGTGCAATTAAGAGTGAGGTAATTAACAACTAGCTTAAATTATCTATGGGTGTGATGGATTCTTCGTCACTTCAAGTCTTTAAATCAAGACTGAATGTCTCATATAGATCAAATTCAAATTATGGGATTGATGCAGAAATTACTGAGTGAGGTTCTGTGGCTTATGTTATGAGGAAATTCAAACTATATGATCATAATGGTCCCTTCTGGCCTTAAAATCTGTGAATCTATGAAGTAGCATTATTACAATATAATATTATTTACTGATAAGTAAATAATACAGTGAGCATTAATATAGTGTTATTTATACATGTGCAGGAAATTCCTCTTTACACATTTTAAAAGTCTGCCGAGTTATTCTTTATAGCCTGATTTACCACACATCCCTGATTCAGTGTGGACCAGCAAGGCCCATTGAGTCACAGAAGGGATTCATCTTGAAGGAGGGCATGTTGTGTTTCCACTAACACTTTCTGTCAGTGTTCCTGCTGGAAAGAAAAAACTTTAATTTACAGATAGGGCATCAGGCAGATTCAGTACACTTAAGGGTTGTGCTGAATCATGAATTGGCTATTCCTACTTCATGACCATCATCATTTGTTGCTGGTCGGTGTTGGCCCTCCGTTGTCTTCTTTTTTGTTTAGTCAATGACCTCTTTCTGCGCTGACGGTTTGTTTTCCCAGGAGAACTTTTTACTGCCAGGAATCTGTCCACCAATTTTTACACAAATGGAAGCCAGGATGTATCTAGCCGAATGTTTTCCTTGATGCTTTGTTTTATGTTTTGTACTTTGTCAAAAATTCATAATTTGAGTTATAGCTATAACTTGAGGACTCACACTGAAAAAGGAAAAAGTAGGTCATCTGTGGAAATGCAGCAGTTATGAAAGGAAAACACACGACTGGACATGCAGCTGTGAGAGCGAGAGATACAGACACCTTGCGTGTAATGAGATACAATGCCTGAGGCCAAATGCCTTCCCCACATAATAGATCCTTCATATCTTCATAACTATTCTCCCTGATGCGTGGAATTATTATAATTAAGAAATGGCACAGTCCTATTTTTAAGTAAAAATGTCATTGGTCATGAGATCTTAAAAGATTTGGTTAAGAATATGTTTATTTTTTAAAATATCACTTAAAATGTTAGAAAGTATTTCAGAATATCTATAACTTGACCAAATCCTTTACCCCCTTATTTTACAGCCAAAATGCCCACTAAAATCAATGGGAGCCATCCCTCAATGAGGCCTAAAGGTCTCCGATCACTGATTTCAGATATTAAATTATTTCAACATTATTGCTGAATTGTTAATTTTCATATGTCTGAGTACCCCTCCGTGACATCCCCCAGAGTACAATCTGGACTGTAGAATTGCTGTGCCCCTTAATTCTCCAGTCTGGTTTATACTATGCCGTGCTTTGCTGTGTGAGCTGCCAATCTGCCCACTCACTCGTGCCTCTAGCATACAAGTCACCCCTCACCCCCAGACATATACCAGAGTGCTATGCCCAGCCACTCTTGAATTATATATAGGGCATCCCCACATATCCCTTGCACCCCAGAAATGCAAGCTATTTACTGAGAAATACAAGCTTATAAAGTCTGTTGTT